ATAGTTTATCAGACGAAGTCAAAGCCATAAAATCAGAGATCAAGATTTTTTCAATGCTCTATTTGATTGTTGGCATTCAACTTCAACAGTATCCGGACAATTTCGCTTTTGAAGTATCTTCACGTCTGTTAAGTCTATTTGGTATTAAGCCGTTTATTACTAATCTTATTAAACAAATCGATGAACAAAGTGTTCGATATTGTTCTTTAATTGTACCTTATTGTCAACTTCAATCACCGGGTAGTGGATTAATCTTTTCAATGAATCGACATACAACATCTATAGTAGATTTTGATTTTACAGAAGATCAAATGAAAGCTATAACTCTTTCGGACAGAATAATTGTCATAGATATGGGAGAAGTACGTACAGTTTTGGATATCAACCTGCCGAACTTGAATGAACCATATTTGAATTCCACTACATTACCAGAAACATATACTTTCGATGGAAAAAATGAAATAAAAGATGCACGATCATCAAATAGTTCAAATGATGAATTTAAAAGATATTTATTTCTTGTTAATTCGTTGCATCATATTTATCTTGTATCAGCTAATGAGAATATTAAATTTGAACATTCGTCAAAAGTTGGTTATTTGACTGTTGAAATGCTTGATAAGAGACGTGCACTCTGTGTTGTAGCCGAACGAAATACAAATTATGTAGAATGTTGGGATGTAGTAAGAAAACGATTATTTGATCGATTTGAGTTTTCTAAAGTGAAAGTTAAGTATGTTCTTTGTGCTCAAGTTTATTCGATGATTATTATTGTTCTTCAAGATGGCATCATTCAATTTTATTCTATTACTGATTGGACGAAATCATCGTTTGTTCATCGAGGTTTAATTCATGCTGGAATTCATCTTGAACTAGTCGCAGTTACTGGTGGAATGTTAATTCATACATTTAATGCAAATATTCCTATTGATTTTGCTCTAATTAGTTTAAAACAGTTCCATAAAACGGAGCAAATCTTATCCGATAAACAAGTATTTAAAACATTAGTTGCATTTGATCCTCCAATGGGACCGAAACCAATCAAAAGTATCATATTACCCGATACAGAGTCAATGTCATTCGACGATATTCAATCGAATTTTCCTTTTTTTATGACTAAGACAAGAGATGCCATATTTATCGTTCATAAATGTAATAATAAGGACATATCTTACATTCGTATTAATGGTCGATTTGATGTTGTGTCAATGCATGCAAAAAATTCACACACCTTATATACAGCTCGTGGTGGTATTGTTGAACTTCACAAATGGGCTTGTATTGAAAGCAAAGATTGTAACAGCAGAAATCACAAATATCAATTGTATGTTTCTATCGATATCAGTTCATCACCAATAACTTCAATTAAAGCTAAAGCCGGCAATGGTAAATATTTTTGATTTTAAAACGTGGTCTAAAGAATGCATTGGAGTATGTCGGATAGAAATTTTCAGTTTTCCAAAATTACGGATAATGAGAAACTTTGACGGTCTATGCTCTAAATTCTTAGGTTACTAAGTTCAGAATATTTGGAAATCAGTTTGTAGCCATAGTTTTTAGGAACTTTTTAAACTTGATGAAGCCGAATATATCGGTTCGCATTCGAGATTATGCATGGGTAAAAATGTAGGAAGCTCTCTTTTGAGTACATGTCGACTCAACATGAATAAACACAAGACTTTTATGAAAAGTGTTCAACGAAATTTCTCTGATTGTGATTGCCAAGATCGGTATTTTATGTCATTGATTAGCGAACTAAAGCAAACTACATTTTTCGATGATACGAGCTGTGTATTTGTCTTCTATGTTGAACAGAAATCTACATAGAATAGTCTATTTTTCTATAATATTGCTTACTAGCTTTTCTGGAATATACCTTGCAATAATAGTAGAATATGCCTTACACATCTATACGTTGTCTATAAGGTACCCATGGTGATTCCGCAAAAGGAAATTCGTCCAATTATAAGGATCTACAAGGGTGGACGATGATCGAAATTTCTGTTTCTTTCACTTTTATCGCGTTTCTTGATATTGGTTTTTTTGTATTTGCCCAACTCTTTAGGTCTAAATTTGTAAGTCGTATTCCACACTTTCTTTTCGTTTCTTCCTTTTAACTAGGAATGAATTCATTCACTTTGCGTTGATAGGCGCTCGATGGAGAATTGACTGCATTTTTATTCAATATCGTGCTGAAAGCTAATTTAAATTGGTGAAGATCTAGCATTCGGCCGCCCCTATTATAAAAACTTTTTTCATTGAAATGCTTTTAATCAAAATATAATATGTTTAAATGAAAATAAAACTTGTATCGAAGAAACTTGCTTTGCATGGAGAATGAAATGACAAATGGGTCTATGTGTAGCGCAGTTGCACAATGCGTGATTTCTTTATAATCATTACTATGTGAAGTAGAAAATTTATTTCACATATTCCTGACAAAAGAACAAGTTTTGAACATGAATGAACTGCAAAAAGTTCTTATTATTTGATAGGCTATGCAATTAATCAATGCAAATGAATTCACGAAGTTGCCTTTTTTTATATTTTGATGGATGATAAAGCCATAAGAATAGAATAAAACGATACTGAAATGAGTATTTATGACCTTTGCTTGCAATCTTTCTTCGAATTGTAAATCTTATATGCAATTATCAGAATATAAATGAGACAGATTGGACTAGTTCTACAACAATCAATATGACAGGTTATTAAAAAACAACGAATGACTATAGTTCATTGCTCATATTCATTAGGAATATCACTCATAACTAATATGCACATGTTGAGATACTTGCTCAAAGTATCACGTTGTAAACTACATAAACTATGACAGAAGTTTTCAATTACTATTAACACTATCCAATTGCGTTTCAATTTTTGATTCCTTAGGCGTTCTTTTAAACTACTTTGCATAGACACTTGAATTCATCATTGATCAAGAACATGTTCGATTTTATTTTCTTGTATCTTTTTAGCGTCATTATTCGTGTGTGCATTGGAAAACGGAGTCTTTCAAGTATATTATGCATCACATGCACGAGAAGCATTCAAGAACATGCCTTCGTTTCCACGTACAAATGAAGTTATACGAACTGTTCAACTGCTTAATAAGACTGCGATTACTCTTGACAGTACACAACGGTAATTACATCTTAGTTTTCTATTTGAATTCTGTTTGGATAGTATGAAAACAAAAAGAACATCATCAACAATTTTACTTTTCTGAAGAGTAATTCATGAGTATATTCGATTTACAGTGTGCTACAATATTGAGTTGAAAAAAATTTTACTTCGAAAATTGAAATAAGAAATCATGATTAGTTTTCGAATAATTTGAATGCATTGTGTCAATCTGTATAGTAATAAGATTTTATCAAAATGAATAGGTATATCTCTAGAAATTGTCGATATTTGAGTAAACGCATTAATCATTGTATTACAAAAAAAATTTTTTTCTAGCGAACTTACATCATGGTCATATCAATATGCACCATCCATTCACTCTACTCGTTCGTTTCTCGACGATGTAACTATAAACGAGTTTGCCATTGCATCTAATAATTTAAATTCAGAGATGATATTTGTACTTATACTGACAACTAATCATTGGATTGAAATCTATTCCGCTAAATCACTTAACGATGACGCTCTTTATAGTCTTCATCTTCGTTCTCCAGCACGAGTTCATTCGACAATTAATGGAAATTTTTATGTTTTAACATGCAATGGTATCGTTTATTCTATCGCTCAACAAATTGCTTCTAATAATGAATTTAATTTCAATCAGAAAACTAATAGTCAATTAAAAATTCCATGTTCAATGATGCTAAGTTCTGTCTTAACTCTCAATGGACTAGAAAGTCTTATTGTTTTTGCTGACAATGGGCAATCAATGGCGATTTGCACTATGAAACGAGTTATCTATATTGACGTCGATGTTTCATCTTACATTTCATCATCATCATTGAAATCAATCACTAGTGAAAAAACACAAAATTTATTGTTATTATATTTCAATAATAAAACTCTCATTTCGTGTCAAGTAAAACTTGATGAATCAAATGAGAAAGGTTCACTTCAATTTACTCCATTTGATCAAGCTGATAAATTTTGTCTACAAAATAATTGCCTTGCTACGTACAATAATGGAAAAACTCAACTTAATTTACATGATATTCGTTCAAGTACATGCTATGAACCGATTCAACTCGATAGTGAATGTCAATACTTATGTTTCAATGAATCAGCAACTTATGTTTTCGCATTAGTCAAACCTCGAGTGTTATTCATGTATCGAATGACTGATCATCGACAAATGGCAAAATTATTTGTCTATGATTTTGTCTCGTCTATGGTAGCCGATAATGATTTTCTCGTATTAGCTATGAATGATCGGCGTTTACTTACATTAATGATTGCCGATCCTGATGATCCTACATTACAAGCAAGAATACACGCATTACCAAGCAGGTATATATAACATGAGAATAATGACGAGTAAAATTTCACACTTAGTTAGTAAGTAATGCAACAAGAGCTATCATGTTCTCAAGATAACGGGGTAAGACGAGCAGTCATCCTATTCCGCCTCCGAAATCAGTTCCATCCGATTCCCGAAATCGATGTCATTTCGGAAAGGAATTCCGGGAATCAAATGGAATCGGAATCAGACCGAATGGGACGAAATTACCACTGATTCCCAGCGATTCCGTCTGATTTCGCCTCGATCTAATTCCCGGAATTCCGTACGGGAATCCCTCACTTTAGATATTTGACTACGACTACACAAGACATGGTCTGGGTGAGGGTGAAACGGAATTCCGGGAATTATATCGAAGCGGAATCAAACGGAATTGGAAGGAATCGCTAGCAATTCCATAGCATTCCGGAATTTCATCTTAATTCCGATTCCATCTGATTCCCGGAATTCTCTTTCGAAATGGCATCCAATTCGGGAATCGGATGCAATCTCGGTAATTCCGGAAATCGAAGGAACTCGATCATTTTCGGATACGGCGAGTTAGTTGGACGATTGGGAATTCCGGAATCGGATGGAACTGATTCTGGAATATGCAACATTGCGGAATAGGATTTATTCTCGGTAAGAGTTTCATCTGCATCACATGCCATCTATGAATTATACGACTTTACCATCTAAAAACGATATCCTCTAAAACGTGTCAGCATCTAATAGATAAAAACAATAGATTGTTCTCTGATAATAACATTTTCTACTAATAATTACTCATATATCGATCTATAGGAGTTAGTCAACTATATCAATAGGCTGTTACATATCACACATTTGAAAAGACATAATGCAAATCGAATTCCTCAGATTAGTTTTCTTTTTATTGACTCTTGAATTGACAATCAATTCAAATTAGAAATATTCTTCTCAATTGTGACCAATGTCATCTAAGATTTGAAAATAAAGAAGGAAAATTGTGCTAAAAAAATTCAATTTTTCGAAGATTATTATAAATTAATGGGTTAGACAGCGACAGAATCAGTCTCATTTCCTTGCCAAACTTATAGTTAGAAACAGATTTATAGTTTTGTTTGTGCAATAGAAATCCTCAGCGTTTGAGCAAATCTGCAACAAAAAGACTTGTTGATCATGTGGAGAAATGTGGCAATATGAGTTCAAGCGATGAAGATGAATCTGATCTTGACCATGATGATAATGATAAAACCAGCCAGCAATCTAAACAGAAGAAAAATGACCAAACAAATGTACAAAAGCTTGCGTCACCTACTAGTCTCTTTCGTATCGTTACTCGGTTAAATGCACGGCATTCACTTTCCAAGATGAGAAATGACGAAGAAATACGATCCCAAATCATGACTATATCATTAGACAATTCAGAGGCTCTTGATATGACAAAAATGATAAATAATTCGGATGATGAAAATTACGATGATAATAACGCAGTACAAGTTCCAGATTTTGCTATTAACACAGACGAACATAAAAATATCGATGCTGATTTGAATGATATTCGTCAGAAAACATTAGAATTCAATCAAAACCAAATCAAAGGAATTCAATTTGCAAATGCAGGTGATAGAAATTTGAAAATTGTGAACAATCACGCAATAACTTCGAGTACATGTAGTATTACTTGATCATCTCTATAGGTAACTTCAAGATTTCTATGATAAAAACGTAAAGATCATCTAAATTTTGAAAAATCTATGTCAATACTTTCAATTTTTTTCATTAAAATAAATTAGGCTTTCTCAATTTGTACTATTCTGTTGAAGTTTGAATAAAACATAGCATAAAGAATCAGATTGATATTGTATCCTTTAAATTGTTGAACATTTGTGGACGTGAGTGTTCCGATAACTAACATTCACACCTACATACTCAATTATTTCTGACAATTGTTTAATATGAAACTGTCGCTTGAAAACAAATCATTGCTTTCTGAACGTTTCAGCATTTTCAATTTATTGTTTTCCATGCCGTCGTAAGAAGCATAAATATACATATATAACTTATTTTCAAACAACAAAGTGATGTATGAGAAAATTGAAGGTCGCTTGAGCAATCAATAATAATAAATGTGATTCCGTTTTGATTTTGAGAAGGAATTGATTAAATTAAACCTAACTTGATCATTCGATGAAATCAAATGAAACTGTGATGAACTTCTTTGAATTAACATCATCATTCCTATTCAATGACTCATAAATATTCGAGCCATCAATTTTCTGTATTGTCATTCTCACTAGTGTCCGCGATGTTGAGTATCGGTGACATTGTCATATTTTTTTGGCTGATCTAATGAACTATCTAGCGTTAAGATTTCCGAGAGTTTCAGTGCTTTTAATTCCATCATCATTGAAATACTTCTTGAGATGACTCCTACTATAATTCGTTGTTCACATCATGATTTGTAATGTTCTTAGCTCCTCAATAGTTGTAATATGGCTATAAAAATAATCGTAAATTATATCTTGCTTCGAAAGCACGTGTAATGGGATGTCATGAACAACTCTGAATTCAGAGGATATAATTTGATTTTCGACCAATTGAAGGCTCTGAACATTTTCATGTAAATTTCCGACTGCTTTTATTTAATAAATTCACTTTGGTATCACTTTCTATTGTGCTGTAAAATTGATCTAAAACAAGCGGGTGTGAGTGTGGGTGTGGGTGTGGGTGTGGGTGTGGGTGTGGGTGGGTGTGGGTGTGGATGTGGGTGTGGGTGTGGGTCTTAGTATTCTTTTCACAAAATATCATTACCTGCCATCCACACCGGCACGGACACGGGCACGGGCACTCACACCCACACCGACACCGACACCAACACCCACACCGACACTCACACCGGCACCCACCCACACACACACGCCCACACCCACAGCCTAAGAACCGAAAAAGACTGCGTCGGGAGAAGGTGGTGTTGCAATGAAAGGAGATGCCGCATCTGTCGGTTGAGAGTTGAGTTTAGACCCATAGCTTAGAGATGGTTTGTGTTTTACATTATTCAGCGGATCCAGCTTCTTCACAAGCTTCTCCAGCTTCTCCAATTTGCTGGATATGTGACAGAGATCTAGGATTCACCCACACCCAACTCCTATTTTTAAGTATCGCAAATGTTGAGATTTCTCAAGGTAACCATTAATACGACACAATAATGACGAGAAAATCGATGGTTTTCGAATAGAATCAGTCAAAATTAGTTGATCTTCCATTGCTTCCACACTGTAAAATGGTTTATGTGAAATCGGTGTGATTCATCTGTAAGAAAAGAAAGGAAGTCAACTTTGAATAACAAATATGACGGTCTGCGTGTTTTTTCCAAGTATGAATCACTTTTCCATTCTTTCATTAATCTTTCTTTTGAGGATGACGACAAGCATGTAAGGGGAGGGTCGTGTGAGTGTTGGGTGTAGGTTCGGATATATTTTTCTTCAACAATCCCCTAACATGCATACCCACACCATCTATAGTTGTACAATTCTGACATGTTTCAATCGTGTTGACATTAAGAATTGGCAGATTGGTCTATATTGAATGACGAATATGATGACGAGAATACATAAACTACAATAACCCACACATATAAAAAAACTTCATTACCAAATGTTGATTCTTCTACTATATTTTTGACAAATTCATATAAACATAATATTACATGTTTTGCATTGACTTTCATATATTCAGAAAACTATAAAAAATATATTATTTATTTCCAACAATTCTTGTACTACAGTTGTTAGGTTTAGGGTATGGGTGTGGGTGGATATGAGTGGTTGTGAGTGTGTGGTGTGAGTGTGGGCTTGTGTTGGGTGAAGAAAGCATTAAGACCCACACCAACACCCACACATGAACACTCACACCCCACACACACGCACAGGCGCACGCACACACCCACACCCACCCACACCCTTTAATTTGAAACCAACCCGAGCTCTCTAGCACGTACTGGGACCGAGCTATTTCGATTCCAAGAATGACTCTGAGTGAGCTGGATCTCCGGCCTAGTACGATGTTGAGCGCTGAAATTTTTATCAGAGATGTATCTTCCCAGGAGAACTCATTCCTGAAAATTTCACCCCAAATAAATAGTCCAAAGTGGAAAAACAATTCTGAGAGGATTCCTTAAATAAATGTTGATGAAAATGAAAACCAACGTTCGAAAAAATTTTACTTTTTGTTGTCTCTCAAACATTAGAATTTTGAAAAGAATTAAAATGAACTATCACAATGCAGACAAATTATAAAAATAACTAATTATAAAAATACTGATCTAAAATAAACTTGGATATTTTGAAGGGTGGTCCGGCTCAATCACATGATCAGGAGGGGGGGTCCAAAATGGTCCAAAACTGATAGCGTGGTTTCGGAATGATCTCTATGCCTTTTTTCTTACGCGTAGAACTGCACTTGTCTTTTTTGGTCTGACGCGATATTGTCTTAGGACTCATATAGAAAGATTTGGTTTTCTATAGTCTATTTCTATTGAACTAATCATTATTAAAGTTTTATTTAATTAATTTAGAAAAGAAAAACTAATAATGGCTATTGAAGAGAAAAATGAGAATCTAACACACTTTTGTCACTACAAATCAGGAAAAGATCAAGCATAAGTTTGTTCGTCGCGCTTTCGATTAGATTGTTTGAATCCATTTGTTAATATTATCAAGGGTATTTCGTGCTTCAGGATAGTAAGAAAAAAATACTGGATAAACATGCATTAAATGTAAACCTTCTTCAAATTTTACATCGACACCTGCTTCTAGTGCTTTTTTTACAACTTGTCTTGCATCATCTTCTAATATTTCCGCTGTACCAACATTAATAAACATTGGTGGAAATCCTTTGAATGAACCAAAAAGAGGACTCACTAGAGGACTATTTAGCAATAATTGAGAATGATTAGGGCCGAGTAATTGTGAGGCACTCCAGTCGATATCGTCACCGTGAAGCAATACATCAATTTCACGATTGCGTTTATAACTTTCACCAGATGTTGAAAGATCAGTCCATGGAGACAAAGCAATAACACCACGAGGAACAGGTAATTGATGAGCAAGTAAAGCTTGAATTGTTAGTAGAACAAGACCACCACCAGCTGAATCACCCATAAAAAGCATTTGAGATGGTGAAATCTTCTGATGAAAAAGTGCACGATAGATTGCAATTGCATCATCGACAGCTGCAGGGAGTGGATGTTCTGGACAAAGACGATATTCTACATGAAGAATAGTTATATTGAAAAGTTCAGATAAATGACATTCAAAACCACTATGACCTATCAAAATATAACAAAGGTTTAGTCATTTGTTTGAATATAAGAAACATTACTTACTCTGAATATCACCTGATACATATCCTCCACCATGAAAGTAGAGCAATAATTTATCGGAATCTTTTTGCAACTTTCTTGGAGGATAATTAATCCAATAGGTGTCTACTGAATGTCCATCATGAACGAATACTTCTTTATTGATTTGACATTGTGATGGTTTTGGAATAATGCTATTTGTGCTGAAGGTGGAACGCAAGTCTTTGACTCTGATAATTGGATCTGCAAATGGATCACGTTTTATTAGCGGTTTCATACGTAATACATTCTCAAAAGCTCGATACTCAGCACTAAGTGTTGGTCTAGCTTGATCTGATAGGAGAGAATGTTTTAATGTTAATGTTGAGTGTAGCAAACGAAGAGTAAGATATCGAGGATTTGTTGATCCATATAGCAGCGGAATAACAACAGCCGCAATCAAAATAGATAAGACCAGTTTTTTTAGAAAACTAACGAATGCATTCAAAAACGCCATTATTTTATTTATCTATAAAAGAATTATTTGTTCTTCTCGTAAATATTTATTGTGCTAGTGCTGTGTTCGTCACTACTTATCTTATCAAATAACCAGCATGTTATTTTTCTTTTTCTCACTATGTTGACACATTTATATCATCTAATACTCAATGTGAAAAAGCCATACCTTTATATTTAAACAGCACAAACTTTTAAAGTACAAAATTGAATGAGACTTTTAATCACCCTACATTATTACAAAATGATTTTTTGGGAGAGAATGGTCAGATGAAATTTGAAATTTATATAGTTTTGTATTGCTTCGAACACGACAAATAATCCTTTTTTTCGATATTCAAGATTCTATTCATATAATGACATATATCGAGCATGACATGTCTCCTTTCTTACACGTAGAACTGTACTTTTCTTTTTTGATGTGACGCGATGTTGTCTTAGGACTCATATAGAAAGATTTGATTTTCTATGGTCTATTTCTCTTGAACTAATCATTATTAAAGTTTTATTTAATTAATTTAGAAAAGAAAAACTAATAATGGTTATTGAAGAGAAAAATGAGAATCTAACACACTTTTGTCACTACAAATCAGGAAAAGATCAAGCATAAGTTTGTTTGTCTCGCTTTCGATTAGATTGTTTGAATCCATTTGTTAATATTATCAAGGGTATTTCGTGCTTCAAGAGAATAAAGAAAAAACATTGGATAAACATGCATTAAATGTAGACCTTCTTCAAATGCTACATTAACACCTGTTTCTTGCGCTTTTTTTTTACAACTTGTCTTACATCATCTTCTAATATTTCCGCTGTACCAACATTAATAACCAT